TGTTCATGAGGGAAATAAGTATTTGATCCTCTATCATTCAGCAGGATTTCTGGCTACCAGGTGTCTTTCATACAGGTAACAAACTGAGATTAGAAGCAGTCTCAAAGGGAGCGCTGCTAGGTGTGGTGCACCATGCAAGATCTCACCTCGTGGAGTGTCAATGATCATGAGAACAGTGAGGAATCATCCCAGAACTACACGTGAGGATCTTGTCAATGATCTCCAGGCAGCTGGGACCAGAGTCACCAAGAAAACAATTGGTAACACACTACGCCAACAAGGAGTGAAATCCTGCAGTGCCCGCAAGGTCCCTCTGCTCAAGAAAGCACATGTCCAGGCCCGTCTGAAGTTTGCCACTGAACATCTGAATGATGCAGAGGAGGACTGGTTGAAGTAATGTGGTCAGATGAGACCAAAATGGAGCTTTTTGGCATCAACTCAACTCGCCGTGTTTGGAGAGGAGGAATGGCGGGGACCCCAAGAACACCATCCTAAGTGTCAAAAATGTGGTGGAAACATTCTGCTTGGGGGCGTTTTTCTCTAAGGGGACAGACAACTGTAACGCATCAAAAGGGACGATGGACGGGGCAATGTACTGTCAAACCTTGGGTGAGAACCTTCTTCTCTCAACCAGGGCATTGAAAATGGGTCGTGGATGGGTGTTCCAGCATGGCAATGGCCCAAAACACACTCAAGAGTGGCTCAAGAAGAAACACATTAAGGTCCTGGAGTGGCCTAGCCAGTCTTCAAACCTTAATCCGATTGAAAATCTGTGGAGGGAGCTGAAAGTTTGAGTTGCTAAACGTCAGCCACCAAACCTTAAATAACTTGGAGAGGATCTGCCAAGAGGAGTGGGCCAAAATCCCTCCTGAGATGTGTGCAAACCTGGTGGCCAACTATAGGAAACGTCTGACCTCTGTGATTGCCAACAAGGGATTTGCCACCAAGTACTAAGTCATGTTTTGTGAAAGGGATCAAATACTAATTTCCCTCATGAACATGCAAATCAGTGCATAATTTGTTAGACATGCATTTCTTTTGAATTTTTTGTTGCTATTCTGTCTCTCAGTGTTACAATACACCTACCATTCGATTTTTAGACTGATCATTTCTTTGTGAGTGGGGAAACATTCAAAATCAGCAGGGGATCAAATACTTATTTCCTTTCCTGTATGCAACAAATATCCAAACTCATATGGTGGCAGTGCATCCACCTGTAACATGAACTATCAGGAACAGCTCAGTTCTCATGGTCTCCCACAGGCCAAGCAATCACACTCATGGGCCACCTGTACCTTCACCATGAGCTGCTGCTCAAAGTCAAACATGAGCAAAAGCAGGTCAGTGATTTCTTCTTTCAAGGTATAACTGTTATCACTAAGCCTATGGTGACGGTTACACCCCCCGCGCTCACACATGGAAGAAGGGAGTGAAGGTTAAGAAGATATTCTGGGGCATTCAAACGAGGTCTCCAAACCCAGAATCCCACCAATGCAAGCCAACCAGATTCATTCTTGCTGGGACAGAATCTAAAACTAGATAACATGGGAGGCAACAGAAATGTAGTATTTGCAAAATCAATGTTTGAATGTTGTTCCGGCTCGGGGTCTGAGGAAACACAAAGCATCGAAGCAGTGACTGAGCTTGTTCTTTTCTCTGTAAGCCCTGTGTTTCCTGTTTTGGGTGGCCAGAGTCCTGGAAGATGGTTGGGGAAAAATGGCCTGAGGTGTCAGTAAACGACTTTTTTTGAGACTTTTCCCCATGATTTGTCATGCTTTGTTATGCACCGACTGTTTCAGAACCTTCGGTGAGTAGCACATTAGTGACATTAACAAAATCTCCTGAGACTAGCAGTCAGAGGCAGCACTGCCTCACTGCAGATATTTTTATATGAATGACATTTCAGGCATAAGAGTGCCTATAGCCTCATAGTTGTATATCTGCAGTGTGTGATTTAAGGCACTGCTGCCTATGACTATCTCATGAAATATGGAATGAGATTTGGCGATGCCACTACTGTGCCGTTTACAGTTCTCCTTGCTGGAAGTTCTGAGGAAGCAAAGCCGTGCCTCTACCTAGATGGCCACCTTGACAAAGAGACAGTGCAAAACAAGTCATGGTAGGTCAGTAAGGGGGATAGACAAGCTTCAGGGAGACCACAGGTAACTAGAGCAATAGCGGTAACTAGTCCTTTGCCTGGCTCTTCTTGGTCACGGCTTCCAGAGTTCAGCGCCTCTAACATTCCTAGATAATCATCACCTTTTGGTTCAGGTCAACTTCAACTTTTAAGTAAGCTGGGTTAAAAAAAAAAAAAAAAAAATATTTTACTAAATATAGTGAATATGAACTATTTTTAGGGCTTAATCTTTAACATTTGCTAGGAACTGATTACTTGAAAAATATATACAAAATCAGAATACATTCTAACCAGTTGCAGACTCTGGGCATTCTATACACACCCAAAAAAATGCCATTGTACACAGGGTGTGTTTAGAATTTCTAGTCCTTCTGCCCTGCCCACAGGAAACAACACCATTGCTCAGCAGGAAAACAGAAAAAGAATATTGTTTAATGAAACATTGTTTGAAATGTAGATGAATAAACAGAAGGATACAAAATTAAAAGGGATGAACTTCCATCTGTAGATGAAGTCAGTTAAAGCAAACTGAAAAACTAGTACAAAAAAAAAGTTTTAATCAAATGTTCCTGTTTAACCCCTTATTAACCCTTAGTTTACTCTAATCAGCCCTGATTAAAGCGGTTCTCAAGGATCAAGGTGTTTTACCTTCATGTATTCTGTGCATTAAGGTAAAAAACCTGAGTGCAGTGGTCCCCCAATCCTTCAGGGGAGGGGGTGCACACGGGGCCAAGCCATGGCTCTGTGTGTCTTATGGACGCATAGAGCAGTGGCTCGGGGACGAGTATGCAGTGGTGCCCCCAGGGCAAGCAGATTTCCTTGGGGGCATTGATCAATGGGGAGGAACCAGGAGCACCAACAGGGACCCGAAAAGAAGAGGATCGGGCTGCTCTGTGCATAACCACTGAACCGAGCATAGTACAAACATATATATTTTTTTTTAAACAAAAAAAACTGAGCTTTAGTGTCAACTGAACTCATTTACCTTCTCAATTCCATTATAATTTCTCTGCTGATTTTTTTTTTCTATTAACCAATATTATTTAAACTTTTTGTTTACCTTGGTCATTCATATTTTTACACTCATCACATTGGGGAAAAAAAGCGCAAAATTGAGAAAGAACCTACTTTAGCTCATTTGTAAATTACTTTGCAATGCCTTGTACCAGAATCATAATTTTAGTGTCATTTTAAACAGGACAAATCTGGCAGGCAATGTTATTAAATGTGTACATTTTCAGTGACAAGTTTAGTTTAACCACTTCCCGTCCAGCCGCTGTATATAAACGGCGGGACGGTGGCGCTCCAGGGGTGGGTTGCCGTCCATAAACGCACCCGCCATTATGGACTGTGCACGCTCCCTTGGAGCGCGCAGCACCGCGATCCGGTGCCCGTTGTGTCCTCCGGACACAGTGGAACACCGATCATCATATGGGACCTTTGTGCGAGATCCCGATCATGTTATCACCGATTGGCCAATCAGGCTTCACTGCCGGTTTCCCTCAGTCAAGATGTGGCACCAGCACCCGACTGAAGATCAGCCCGGGGTGAGGACACTGCTGGAAACATGGACAGGTAAGTGCTGGAACACTGCTTTAAAAATAAAACTATGAGACTAAAGTGTGAATTATAAATAGTAGAATTATTAACACAGTAGGACGGAAATTCACAGTAGTGGAAGTTGCTGAGAAGGTGGCACAGTGGCTTAGTGGTTAGCACATCTGCCTTGCAGTAAATGGGTCATGGGTTGGATTCCCGACCACGGCGCCTCCTGCATGGAGTTCGCATGTTCTCTCTGTGCTTGCGTGGGTTTCCTCCGGGTACTCCGGTTTCCTCCCACACTCCAAAGACATGCTGGTAGGTTAATTGGATCCTGTCTAAATTGGCCCTAGTATGTGTATGTATGAATGTGAGTTAGGGACCTTAGATTGTACGCCCCTTGAGGGTTAGGGACTGATCTGAATGTTCTATATATATATATATATATATATATATATATATATGTGTATATATATGTATATGTGTGTAAAGCGCTGCATAAATTGACAGAGCTATATAAGTACCTGAAATAAAATAAAGGCCTACCTCCACTTTTATAGTTTTAATAGGTAGATACAATTCATCCCACTTCCTGTGCGCACAGGCCATGGACCCACCCGCTGAAGGGTGCATCATCATGTCGGCTTGGGCTCACAATACAATGCTACTCTGTGGATATCAGAACGTCAACACTGTTCTCGGCAGCACTGAGCAGCATCCACCATTGCAGAAGAGGCCCCCTCATCTCACAGAGCCAGACAGCAGACATCTGGAATTTAGGTATGTATCCTCTCTACAACTAACAATCCTCACATTGTGTCTGGAACAGTCAAACCGCTGGAATGGGAGTTGACAAGGAGCAGCCTCTGTATGACGGAACCCAATTCTTAAAAAGAGCAGAAGCTGTGACGTTCTTTTTAATCTACAGGTGAAACTCAAAAAATTAGAATATCGTGCAAAAGTTCATTTATTTCAGTAATGCAACTTAAAAGGTGAAACTAATATATGAGATAGACTCAATACATGCAAAGCAAGATAGTTCAAGCCGTGATTTGTCATAATTGTGATGATTATGGCTTACAGCTCATGAAAACCCCAAATCCACAATCTCAGAAAATGAGAATATTGTGAAAAGGTGCAATATTCTCGGCTCAAAGTGTCCCACTCTAATCAGCTAATTAAGCCATAACACCTGTAAAGGGTTCCTGAGCCTTTAAATGGTCTCTCAGTCTGGTTCATAGGAATCACAACTGAAAAATGAAAAATGTAATATTGGAAAGTTGGCCATTAGAAGGCAGATCTTAGATTAAAGTGTTACTAAACCCAGGACACTACATTCACTATATCTGATCTCCCACAGTACACATCATCTCCATTTCTGGAGTCTGTTGCTGTGGCTACAACAGATTCATAAAGAATTACTACACATTCCCAGATAACTGAACGCGTGGTAATTAAGACCAACTTTGAGTTGGTGTACAGAGAGAACAAGTGTTCAGAGTAAGACATAAGTGCTGGGATGCGGTCAATGTGACTGCGTCCTGTGCAGGGCTCGCACCCCTGTCCTTATTCAGCTGCTAGCCTGTATATTCCCCATCCCACAACCAAATAAGTATGCATGGGGCAGAGATGTTGGCCGAGCACATTATCCAAATTTGGCTATGGCCATATTAGGGTAATGGTATCAGGCACCTTCCCTGTCCCCTTTGTTTTACTTTCAGCTGTCAATCAGGGAATCTCCTGGCCTGCGGCTTCATGGGGCTGGAGAGGAGTCATCCAGTACTGTGGCACTATCCAATGCAGAGCAACGGACTTCGTGTTACTAAGCCCAGGACCCTGCATTCACTATATCTGGTCTCCCACAGTACACAACATAGAAATGCAAATATTTTAGTAAATATAAACTGCTAAATACCTTTTCTCATCAGAAAAGCAGTCTAGTGAGAGCAGTCTTGTGACTTCAGCAGAGCACTGGTTAAAGCTTGTAGGAGTTTTCTGTCTGCTCTAGGAGGATGCAGAACCCGTCTGGACAGTGCTGGTTAGTAATGTGCTGATCACATGCACTTTCCCAAGAGAAAAAAAAAACCCTCTAGCAATACACACCAAAGTGAGAGAAAATCTGCAACAGAAACACAGTACAAAAAAAGCTCCTACTCTTCTTAAAGTGCAGGAATGGCCACATTTTTTTTAAATAGGGGTTTTTGGGTTTTTTCTAAGCAGAACCTAACTGTATCTGAGCACACAAACTAAAAATTATATTTAAGTGATTTTTAGTACTCAGAACTCCCCCCATCCATCCATGTCTCCATGCTTTATTGTGCTGCAAAATAAAAAACCCCTAGCAGGTCTACATGTGGCCATCTTGAAAAAGGGCAGATGATTCCTGCAGCATTCACTTCCCGGAATCCATCTGCCATTAGGGCTTGCATGTAGATAGGAGGGTGCGCTTAGCTGAGAAAATCCCTCCTACAGATGAAAGAAAAAAAAATGCCCATGAAGACTCCTGGTATGTAGGACATCATGTGGCCTAAGCCAGAAACCAACTGAAGAAATGTAGAAAAAAATAAAAAATTTACTTACAAGTAAATATAACTTCCTATTTAGTAATGCTAGCAGCATAAGGATTAAAATAGTTAGTTGATTGAGAGAGTTAAAATCTTAACACTCCCTGCTACCAGTGTCCCACTTGGGATATTTTCCTTCACTTTCCTGTCCCAGATAAAACACGGGGGGGGGGGGGGAAAGAAAAAAAAAACAAAACACTACAAATAAATTAGATTCCCATCTTAGGCCTCACTATTACGAGTGCAGGAATTGCATCTGTTCCAGCACCCAAAATGTGCTGTTACAAAAATGAATGGGGCTGCCATGCATTCTTAATGACAACCCCATGCATTGAGAAAGGTAGTATGTTTTTCAGGTGTGAGAACAGCTGGCATGGTGCACATGCGATGGCTGCTGTGCTGTTTTAAAAATGGTGGAAGAACCTTTTTCCTGCAGCAAATACAGGCACAGTAGCCCATTCAAACAAATGTTTCTCCCACCTAGTGCCATAGTGACAACTCTGTAACATTTAGGATATTATCTAATTTTCTGTCCCAGTGTCCATAGTCATTGGGACAAAAAACAAAAAAAAAAACACTTGACAGTCTACAAAACCTTTCCAGGGAGGCACATCTTCAATCCTCTTCAAAAGGTGCACTGATCAGACAGGTATAATAGGATTTAGGTCACTGACCTGCCAAACAGATGCAGAGTCAAACACCCTTATTTGCATACTTGTTCCAGGTAAAAAGCAGAAAGTATATGAAAAGAAAAATTTTGCAAAATGAGTAGGAAAGGGTTAAAACCTTTTCTGGGTAATGTTTTATGTCAGTGTCCTGCTGGGAAGATTTGCCTTCATTTCACATCTTGGAAACACAACAGGAAGCAAGATGAAATCTTCCCAAAGGGGGAACTCAAAAATCGATAGTTGTCACCAGAACATTTGTTACCATTGGAAGATTTCCCCTCACCTTTTGCTCTCATGACAACTCTAAAATGTATGATCTCCCCTTACTTTATATTTCACTGACAATGGTTACCCAGGCAAATCTCCACAGAGGGACAGCAATAAGAACTTGGCAGATGGTCTAACCCTTTCCCCACACTATTCAAAACAATAAAAAAAAAAAAAAAAAAATTCTGCCTTTACATACACTATAACCCTTTCACTGCCAACGACTACTTAGTAAAAGCAGTCTGAGTGGCTGTAGAGCTCCCCCAACACTTTCACAGGACTAGTACTACTACTACCAGGGAGCTGCATCCGCAGGACTACTACTACTACCAGGGAGCTGCATCCGCAGGACTACTACTACTACCAGGGAGCTGCATCCGCAGGACTACTACTACTACCAGGGAGCTGCATCCGCAGGACTACTACTACTACCAGGGAGCTGCATCCGCAGGACTACTACTACTACCAGGGAGCTGCATCCGCAGGACTACTACTACTACCAGGGAGCTGCATCCGCAGGACTACTACTACTACCAGGGAGCTGCATCCGCAGGACTACTACTACTACCAGGGAGCTGCATCCGCAGGACTACTACTACTACCAGGGAGCTGCATCCGCAGGACTACTACTACTACCAGGGAGCTGCATCCGCAGCACTACTACTACTACCAGGGAGCTGCATCCGCAGCACTACTACTACCAGGGAGCTGCATCCGCAGCACTACTACTACCAGGGAGCTGCATCCGCAGGACTACTACTACCAGGGAGCTGCATCCGCAGGACTACTACTACTAGGGAGCTGCATCCGCAGGACTACTACTACTAGGGAGCTGCATCCGCAGGACTACTACTACTAGGGAGCTGCATCCACAGGACTAGTAGGGAGCTGCATCCACAGGACTAGTAGGGAGCTGCATCCACAGGACTAGTAGGGAGCTGCATCCACAGGACTAGTAGGGAGCTGCATCCACAGGACTAGTAGGGAGCTGCATCCACAGGACTAGTAGGGAGCTGCATCCACAGGACTAGTAGGGAGCTGCATCCACAGGACTAGTAGGGAGCTGCATCCACAGGACTAGTAGGGAGCTGCATCCACAGGACTAGTAGGGAGCTGCATCCACAGGACTAGTAGGGAGCTGCATCCACAGGACTAGTAGGGAGCTGCATCCACAGGACTAGTAGGGAGCTGCATCCACAGGACTAGTAGGGAGCTGCATCCACAGGACTAGTAGGGAGCTGCATCCCACCACAAAAAATTGTTAAAGTGGTATTAAACTCTTTTTATACTCAACCTATAGGTGAGCTTATAATAAAGCCTACCTGTACGTAAAATGAATATCTCCTAAACGTGCACCATTTAGGAGATGTTCTCTCTTTTTGAGAGTTATTGCATGCGCTCTGAATGAAAGGTATACCCAAGCCATTCCTTCATAGTACTGTGCCATGGTTCAGCCAGTCAGACGGCTAGAACTTGTGAACCCGGAAGGAAGACCGGGTGAAGATGGAAGCCTCTGGAGTGATGAGTGCGTGCCGCTGGAGGGCTTCATTTTAGTCCTTCATAATGTGTGATGCATAAAAGCACATTATAACTTTACCTTGCAGGGAATTTTTAATTATTTTTTTTTTAGCTGCGGTTTACTACCACTTTAAGCTGCAATATAATACATTTATGATTTGGGGTTTAGTACAGCTTTAAGCTGCAATATAATACATTTATGGTTTTGGGTTTATTACTGCTTTAAGTAGAAGAATGCTAAAAAACCTGACAGCTTTGTAATGTTCCCTGTTTTCCTGTTGCAGGATTTTCCCTCATTTCCTGTCTGGTAAATTTAAAGAGGGAAACTTCTAACTGCTTCCCATCTGCCCATTGTCTATGGACAGCAGATGGAAAGCAGTGCTGATTCAGGATAACGTACCTGTATATCAGCCAGCATCAGAGGCTCAAGCATACACCCGGGAGCTCGGTGATCTGTGTGTCACCTGCACACAGCAGATCAGATTGCCGCTGTGTCTGGGTGGTCACATGGTGTTTGACCATATGATTGCTTTGTCCAATCAAAGCAATCACATAGTTAACAATACAAAATAAAAGTAAAGATCAGTTCTCGATTGTACACTCACAGACTGCAATACCAGCCACCCCACTGTCTCTAATCACTGCCCCTAGTGAAGTGTAAATAAAAAATTGCAGCCAGTCCTGTCACCTGTTCCAGTGCTCACAAAAACACCGCCATACCAGAGTCCTGATCACTGCTATATGTCATAACAAAAACCAAAAAAAACATTTTATTTCTTCATAATGTGTTATTTTTTCATTTATATAGCAAAAAATAAAAAACTCAGTGGAGATTTAATACCCCCTAAAGAAAGTTCTGTGTAAATAAATATGGGCACAATGTTGCACGACTGAAAAAATGTCATTCAAAATGCGACATTGCTGAAAGCTGAGAAACGGGACTGGAAGAGGGTGAAAGCATCTAGACTTCAAGTGGTTAAAGCCCAGTACACACTATAAGAAAACTGGGCAAACGACCGTCCAATTTCCTGCGATGTTGCACATCCAGTCAAGCCTGAGAATATTACTAATTGTACAAAAATTCTCAAATAACACTTTTTTTCACATAGCAAACATTGTAGCATAGATTGTTTGTTTCTGATCATGCACAGTCTTTCGTATCTGATTTTTCTCGCTTGAAAAACAGTACACATTAAAAGTAAATTGTTCGTTTTGGAAATTTTGGAGTATGTCTCGTTGGAAGTTTTAGTTTGGAAAGTCTGAATCGAACGTCAAAAGTTGTGTACACACTACATGAACATCGAATGATCGTTCCTCGCACGGAATTTTTCTTCCAATTTTCTTAAATAGTGTGTACTCAGTTTAAGGGTCAAAATACACATTACAATCTGACTGTCAATCTTTGTCCAAACAACTTTAAATTTACCAAAACTATGATTTGAGCGCCCGCCTAATCCGTCCAATCAATTTGCATCCAATCAGACAGGCTCTTAAGCTGGCCAAACATACACATTTTCTTGTTCATTTTCCTTTAGATTTACCTTCAACTATGTAGAGCAAGAGCATGCCTGACTGCATACAAATTGAAAGTTTTTAGGTTTGACCTCATACTATATGGTTTTATGGTGGAAAATGTAAAGGAAAATTGTACAAGAAATTTTTATAATGTATGACCAGCCTTACACAACACAGTTGTTGGTAAGAGATCTATTCGATTGTAAGCTCCAAGGATCAGGCCCTCCTATCCCTCTTGTATTGAACTGTATTGTTGCTGTATTGTCTCTTCCTTTATATTGTAAAGTGCTGAGCAAACTGTTGGTGCTATATAAATCCTGTATTATAATAATAATAATGAGATTGTACAACATGTGGTGGTAAACTTAAGTGGATTTCCAGGCTCTAAGCCTAAATGTTGTCTCACCCCCTCCAACTCCTCGTCTAACTACCCTGCAGAAGTGAGATGCTTACACTTGCCTATTCTCAGAGCGCTG